AGGTTGGCCATGCTGGTCAGAGTGTCTGGATGTTCCTCCCCAAGCACCCTCTTTGTCATCTCCATCACTTGCACAAACAGCTCTTCGGCTTCCTTCCACCGGCCTTCACCGTAGTACGTCCTTCCCGTGCTGCTCCATATAAATGGCATCATCTCCTCACTCACCCCTAACCTGTCAAGGTCCTCTCGACTCCAGCTAGGTGTGTACGTAACCATGTGCCTTCGAAACTGCGGCTTTGCCTCTTCCTGTGAAAGCTGTACACAAGCGGCCGTTATCACCAGCAGATACCAGCGATCCCAGGGACTTGCTTGCTCATATTTGGTCGCTCTCCATTGGACTAGTCCATGCATTCTTACCCCATCCCAATCTCCTTGGGTCCGCTGGAGTAGGCTGTACCGAACTAGCACGTCGCGGCTTTGTCGATAACAGAAATCGTCCCATTCCCCTCCGTCAGACGCTAGGACCCTGTCGAGCCATTCTGGAAGTTCTGCAGCCCCGTCGTACAGTTTGCTGACTGTTGCTGATACGCTCAAGCTCGCCAGCCGAAAGATCTCATCCTGCACAATACCACCACGAAACCGTGCTAGTAAGGCGAGGAGCAGGCCCGGTCGTAGACCTGCATGGCGCTCCTCGATCTTCTTAAGCGTGGTGTCCCATACAGTCCATACCGTCTTGTCGCTCGCTGACAATCCGCGGAAATGCTCACTCTGTAGCAGTTCGTCTCGGTGTTTCTCGTAGTCTGCTAGATACCGTCGAAGAGCTTGCTTATGGTCCGTGTCGTTACCGATGTATGCTCCAGCAAGGTCAACCGCAAGAGCCAAGTATCCGAGCTTCCCCGCTATCTTGTCGCAGTCTTTTAGAATATCGTCTGGTGTTAGGTCAAGAACTAGGTCAAGGTGTCGAAGAAGAAGCCCCCGCGCTTCAAACGGCTCCATCGTGTCTACGCACACCCCTTCACAGCCCCCATCTACCAGCTTCCGAGACTGGCTGTCTTGGCTGGTGATGATAACGCTTCCACGATCCCCCTTTGGAAGTACCTTCTTGACCCCCCACGAAAGATCATCTGCATTGTCGACAATCACCAGCCACGCGTCGTCTGTCTCCTTTCGGCCACGAAGCCATCGGAGCACAGCCTGCACGGTTAGCGAGTCTGGGAGACTAGAGCCTTGGTTCTGCGTCCGGTCCACCGACAGCTGGAGCTCGCTCGCGCACCGCTCGAAACTCGACCGCACAGAGTCCTCGTCTTTGGCGTCGATCCAGAGGATAGGATTGTACTCGTCCTTGTAGTCCTGTACATACTTTAGCGCTAGCTGTGTCTTGCCTGTCCCGCCAAGCCCGTAGATAGCAAGCGCATAAGGAACAGTAGCCGTAAGATGGTGCACTCGCAGACCCTCCTTGACAGCAGTAGATAGCTTGTGCCGCTCCGTATAGCTTTCCACAGTGCCAACAGGGACTGAATAGAACCGCTGCTGCTTCTGCAATGCAATCGGCGTGATGGTCTGGAGAAGTTTTCGAAGGATAATCTTGTAGTTCTCATTCTTTGACCCAAACTTGTTCAGGCCGTAGTGGTCGACAGAAAGGCCGACGTTCTCTACTCTACTGTATGTCGCTGATTGCTCTCGGACGCACTGCATCAACCCTTAGCGTATTACCTTTGGCTGGCGATGGCCGGCTTACCCATTCTTCCCACTGGAGAAACCACAGTTTAAGAATCCGTGTCTTACGCTGCTCATAAAAGTTGACCACTCGCAGCTTATCACTTACAGCGTTTTCGAACTCTTCATGGAGATCTTGAAGGGGGAGGGAGTCGTACTCCACTTCCTGGAGCAGTGATGGGTTTGAACCAAGCGGCTGCAGCGCTCGGGCGGCGATGCTTCCCCATGTACTGAAGCTTGAGCCACGGTGAGGCGTGCCCAAGAAGAAAACAGCTCTCGTGTGCTCAGCCACGTTGGCAAATGTCTGATTTGTGCTTGCCTGGATGAGCGCCTACTACAGTCAGCTCTCGTAGATGCGCCGCCAACGCTGGTCTAGGGAAGCTAGGATGCGCTCGATTCGAAGAAAAGAGATATCCCTACCCGCTTGATGACAAGGCCTCCATAGCTGTGTCCGACGAATACTAGATTCCGCGTCCGGTCCTAGGAAACATGTCTGAGCCGTTCGCTCTAGCAGGGGCAATAGGCGACCCAACCTCTTCTGTTCCCCGGATCTCCGAAGTTATGTGGTCCAGCAAGCTCTTCCCAAGGCTCCATAGCCGCGCCTGCACAGCATCCCTCTTCCAGTATGAATCGTAGTTGTAGAAGAAGATTCGAACGTCTGTGTGGAACGCCGCGGGGATGTCTTGAGGGAGGAAGTCGCTAACCCAGCATGTCCCTTTCAGGCCCCAGGTCGTGTCAGGGTTCGAGCCGAGGCCGTGGACGAAGATAATGCTAGATGTCTCTTTCAGCGGATCTTTTTTTGTCGCTCACACGGTGCATGTACTCAATCCCATGTGTGCTTGCGTGCGGGCTGAGCGCGTCTGCCCTGACAAGACCGAATGCACTCTTGGGCGCCTCTTCTGCTCGCAGCCGTGACGGGATTCGCTTCGTCAACTGATCATAGAGCACGGCGGCCGATGCGAGGAGGATGCAGAGGTAGAGCGCGATCCATGCCCAATCCATCGTCTCCTCTAGCGCCGGCGTGGCCCGGTCCGAGGTCTGAGTTAGCCTGGCAGGGGCACAAATCAACCGGGAGCGCAGAATGGCCCGGAGCCGCAGTTATAGGTGGATCGGCGGGTTACTGTGTAGAGTCACAGGACAGAAGCAATGGATTGCGGTAGCAGGTAGAAGCGTCGTCGAGATGTGTGGCATTGGGAGATTATCCCTTCTGATGATCGCAAGGCTACGCAGGCGAGCAGCTGCGGCTGAGCTGGTCTTGGCAGACAGACACGGTGCTTCGGCCCTCCACTGATCCAGCAGTTTGCGCAAGACTCAAGATACCATCACAATGTCAGTTTTCGATATGATCGATCCGCCTTTCCCTCAGTCAGCTGCCCTTTCCAAGCATCGCCTTACCCCTCAACCGAATCGTAGCCAACCAAGTCCTCGCCAGAAGCCTCCTGCAAGCGCGAAGAGTTCGGACGAGGCTATCAACTACATCCCCGGTGAACCTAGCATAGACCTCAACGAGACTGTGGTGCACAGCTTCCTTTCATCAGAGCTTAGTACCCCGCTCCTCGATGAGCTCTATGACAACCTCTGGCTCGTTGCGCGAAAGTATGGCAAGAGTGTTGACCCTCTGCACAGGCAAAAGGTCAAAGCAAGGGAGATCGTTGTAACAGAAGATGTAAAACTGCATCTCGTGTGGCACTACAACAAAATATACATCAAGCCGATGCCACTCTGTCTGCTAAACCACGACTTCTGGGATATGTACCTCTCATTGCCAGCCGACAGCACCTCTTCAAACCAGGGAGCCTCCGCTATTCCAGCTCCTCCCGCCCTGTCGTTTGACCGGACGATTGCGCTAGGCTTTATAAGGTCGTACGCCTTGCTTGTGCGGCACCGCGTCGACTTTATGCTTGCTCGCGAATCCCATCTTTTTCCCGCCGACCTTGACTGGGTCGAATGGTCCGAGTTCATCGCTCATTTTCGGGCTCTAGAGGATGAAGACGTCGCGAAGCGCTTCCACTATGGGCAGCTCCGCCTTTCGCGATTAAATTGGGCGGTCCGTCTGTTTCGACCTTCGCACGCAGCGACTTGGTGGTTCTATGAAATCCCTCACTGGTCAACAGCCATGTATCTAAAGCAGGCAGTCGGACCACTGCTCTTCGGCTTCGCCAGCTTGTCTTTAGTTCTGTCATCCATGCAAGTTTTGGTGTCAATCTCAGGTGAAGGGCTAGGATTCCACCACGTTGGTGCTTCGTCGCTTGAAGATATGAGACGAGCTTTTTGGGTGTTCTCAGTTATGATGTTGTTATTGTCAGGACTTGTTTGGGTGCTGCTGATGGCCATCCCATGCACTGTTCTTATCTGGCAGCTTGCATGGGGTTTTAAGAATAGAGGTAAACCCAAACCTAAGACTCCAGAATAGTAGAGATAGGAGATTTCATCGACATGTTCTCGGCTGTGAGTCTCAACCCGACGCTTGTCAATCAAGACGTAGTCATATTTTGATGCCCGTCAAACACTTAAGATGGCATCAAAGCGAAGGCTCCCCCTCCCAAGCGGCCCTCCAAACCGCCGAAAACCTGCCCTCCAGACCGTGGAAAGCTCGCCCTCAGAAGTGAGAATGCAGCAGCCCCGAAGACGCCCAGACTGGATCTACTTCAGACTGGCGCAGAGGCCAAGAAGATGGCCAATAGGGGCTGGGCCTTCGTGAGTCTAGGAGGCCTCGTGGACAAGCTTCCCAATCTGCTTTGTTTCCTGGGTACTTCGGATCCGCGCCGTCTTGAACGGCAGAAGCTTCAAGCTTGGACATTATTACTTCGTCGTGAAGAACCTTGGGCAGCAGGAGATCAACTCGGGACTGACTAAAGGGAGACGCGCGAGCCGAAGAGGAGAAGTTCTTCGATACTGTCGACCCTTGGGCCATGACTTGGCGTCGTACAGATATCGGTTCGGTACCGCCTCCCTCTAGGCATATCTGTCGCATAAACATACGTCAGACAATGAAGGCGCTTCTAGTCATCCGTGATCGGATTAATGATGTTGCTGTGCTTGAAGAGCTGGAGCAGATCCCGGAGCCTTCCACACACAAGATGTTCATCGTAACTGAGCTCTTGAGGAACCTCGCTCAGAATATCCAGAAGATGGAGATCGACGGGAGCCACGAGCGGGCCAGACAGCTGGCGTATCACTGGGAGGGAGGGTGAGGGGGGAGGGAAGAACCAGCTGCATGGGGAGAAGAAACGATAGCAAATGTGGTTGATTTTGTGTTCTCGCGACAATAAAGAGGTGACTTCTAAAAAGCAGTGCCATGCGGCAGAAAGTATTCGTGGAAACAGCGGAAAGCGCAGGTAACTGGTCCTTTGAGGCATGGGGCAAATGAGGGAAACTTCACGCGGACTCTTGCAGCCGCTGACCTGTTGATTGGTGCTGTGAAGTGTGAGTTTGTGAGACGCAGGTTTTGATTCCACCAACTACATCCAGTGAACGGAGTTCGGGTTGTTTGGCGGCGTACTAAATTCTGACATCCGATATCGGCAAATGGAGGGATTAAATCCTGTTTTCGGATCTGATGAATGCAAATTACGGTTTCAGGGGATCACGTAATCTGCGGCGTGGAAACCGCATACGGTAGATTTTGCGGTTTCTCTGCTGATCAGACGAGGGAGAACTGGGCCTCTCGTCCGATCGACCATACACAAGCCGTGTAGCGCCCGTTGAGTAGTACCGTGGGTGACCAGGTGCGAATAGCGTGGTGTTGTATGTT